CCAGCCCCTAAAGGAAAGGTCTATTTAGCACTTCCTCATTATAAGTTTATAAAGTCAAGTGATTCCAACCTCAATGGAAACAGAATTGTGAACCATCCTAACCTCCTCGAGTTACAACTCTTTCACCAAGCTCGTGTCTTCTCCCATTAGCCAGACAATGGAAAGGAACTGGTATTATCATCTTCAAACTTTTAAATGAATGCCTAAAGATAAATAATAGTTACATGTTAAATGAAGTATCCAACCCCTGACATCCAGACACATAACAAGGGAATTTTATTTCCGCTGCCTTTCAATTTTTGTGGGAATATAAGCTCAGTTATGCTCTTCCACAACCAGCTCTGTTGGACTGTATTGTTAATGAGAAACCTTTGCATCATTTCATTATGGGTGTCCTATTTATGTGATATCCTCTTATAAATTGAGGTGCACAAAGTTGCTTCATGACTGCCTTCAGAATCTCCAATGGATTGCCATCTGAAATGTATTCTGACTAGTAGATGCTGGTGGATCTGTAGGATATTGAGTGATATCAAGCCTGTGAGGCAGGTCCTCATAAATTATGATAAATACCTTGATGTGGCCATTTTTATGCATAGAATCCTGAATGACAGGAAGAACTGTTGAATTTTCTTTCCTTGGAAAGGTCGCTGAAGATTTTCTAATATCTGGTTAGGTCAGATGTCATGTAGTAAGGCGTTTATTTGGTTATATTAAAGTTTCTCTGGTAACTGCTGTAGGTAGATATCATGTTTCATTAGACTGAACGATCCATTAACAGGATCCCTGAAATTCTTTGCCCTTGCGTCTTCGAAAAACATGGTGGTGGAGAAGGCTTACTCAGTAGTGTGTGGGAGTAGGGAGTGGACCGTGAATGTTACAAGAAATCTCAATAATTGGGAAATTTAAGAATAAGAAGTCTTGCTACTCTTGTCATCCCAGATCCAATTAGATAACTACAGGGATCAGCTGATGTGGAAAATGAGGAAGCGGGGTTATTTTTCTGTCAAGACTTTCTACAAGCATTTGACTAGAGGGGAAGGGAGTGGATTTGTTCATTTCGCGGCTAAACAGTTTTGGAAGACGAAGGCTTCCCCAAGAGTTACTTTTTTTGCTTGGGAAGTGAGTAGAGAATACATCCTGACTATCGATAGGCTGATGCGGACGGGTAAAACTATGGTTAATCGTTGCTTCTTATGCAAGATGGATGCAGAATCTTGTAATCACATTCTGCTATGGCGTCCAATAGTTTATAGCATCTGGTTGGTGTACGGTCTCCTTGGGATCAATGGCAGGTTCAGTGAGGGATGAGTTATGGGTGTGGGCGAGTTTATGTAAAAAGAAAACTTTATTTTAATTTCTCTATCTATCTTTTGAGTTGTTTGGAAGGAGAGAAATGCTAGAGCATTTGATGGAATTGAGAGAGAGTTAGTTAATATTAGGGATAGATGGATTCATGTTTTTGGTTCCATGGTTTTGGGTAATGACATTAATGGGTTGGAAGATTTTGGGAATATCATTAACCTTTTCATTCACATGTGAATATCTTGTATATGAATGGTAACCCCTTGTATCATTGTTGATATTGTTACTACACTATGCTTTTTATTTCAAAAAAAAAAAATTAATAGACCTTAAACAATGTCCTTTTTGGACTTACTAATAGTAGTTGAGAAATACATAGTTATAGATTG